TCTCTCTCTCTCTCTCCAGATGTGTGATATGACACTAAGTCTCTTCACCATTGTACACGAAGACTTGACCTTGAGTCAGATTCAGGTTCTGGGAAGTGTTTATCGGAATCTGCAGCGTTTCCTTCTCAGTAGGTGATCATACCTTTTGAGCAGGTGCTTGGAAGGAAATTTCGCAGAACATATTCGGAGACGTCTCCGGCAAACACCCAGGAACTATTCGGAGACGTACTCCCGCACACAGATGCACTGCTTTGGGGGGGGGGGGTCAAACTGCGTATTATTTAATGTAGATCACACATATAATAGTTCTAGCCTCTAAAACTGTCGCAAATCAATCATTTTCAAGAAAATTTCAAACTTAACAGCAAAATATCAAATAGATATAAATCTATATCTAATGTTTTCTTTATAAAAAGCGTTGTTTTGTGGTATGCACCTCGACTATTTCACATTCAAACAATAAAGGTTAATATAGGGCCTATTATTAGGTTACATCAAAATGAGTGAAATAATATTAACATTTCTCATTAAGGGCTGTGGGACCGTATTTTCGAACGAATGCTCCAACAACCAACACTATGGTCAATTCTTGTCATTGCTATTACCGACACTACCGTTGATCACCAGGTTAGGCCTTCTGGCCAACAACAAGTAGGTGTCGCTATTAGCCCATTGGCCATCGACTAGCGTTGACTGACAGCAACCTGGCAAGAATTACATGAATTACTTCCCTTATTCTTCTCTGCCCTCGGGACACAGGTAACTTCCGGGTCATTGTGCACGACAACGAAGTCCTCTTTAAGTCTTCTTTTCCCTGCACTGCTCTCCTACTGCTGTTGTTAGTAAAAATTGAAACCACACACTTGTCTTTGGTTTGCAATGCGTTGAGCTTAGTGAAGGTTTCGTTGTGGACTTTTGAAGGTAAGTAATAAAAGGTAGATCTAATCTAGAGTCTATGTGTAAACAGCTCTTATGAAATAACGACTGCAGGCCGTAACTTACGGCGTAAGGGAAACAATAAAAACGAGGAAGTGGACCTGGATAGTGTTTCGTGTGTTGACTGAAAACTAAATGTTGTGGTGCCATTGTTTTTAGTGTCATTTTGATATCGCTGTTTTAAAATGTTAAATCAACCTGTTTTTTTGTTGCTATTGGTTTGATGCAGTAATAGCAATGACGTTAGTTAGAAAGGCTGTCGGCCCTAAGACATGATAAATATTGGTGGACTTTGTGTAGAGAAGGCTGGAGACTGGAGAAGAGCCCCCCACTCATTCCATTCAAAAATCGAACTTATTTTTACGTTCCATATTTTCCAATATTGATTTTCTTTCTGGTTACTCACTGGGAAAGCCTGAGATTGGGAGGAACGTGAATCACCTTTTTTTTTTTTATTCTTACGTCTTGTCAGTGTTTTGTGCACTGGGGTACACATTCATGTTGATCTCTTCCCTTTTTCTCAGGACAAGAAATTATAAGTTGTGTAGATTTCTAGAATTAGTAGCATAGAGTTAGATTCTAGATCTAGAATCTAGGATTAGGAAGGAAAAAAGGAGAATACAAATCTAGATCTACATCATTTGAAGTTCTTACTCTTTCTTTGCCTTTCTTCTTCCGCAAGATTCAGAAAATTAAACAAACTTTCCAAACAAAAGCCAGCTGGTTTTGATTTCTGATCTCGTACTCTTACTTTGTGTGTGCATCTGTCTGAAAATAATTGCTGCTGATTATATTCCAAGTCCAAGTGAGTATGGTTTTGAATTGGATCTAAATCTAGTTTAGATAAAAAGTGAAGTTTTTAATTTGTTACTTAAATTAAGGCCTAGATCTGGACTCTAGTTAGTTAAAATTACGAAGTGGCTAGCCGTACTGAATTGAAGTATGGCTA